GTCCTCGACGTACGACCCACAGTTGAGCCCCAAATCTATGTTACTAAGTGAAAACTTGGTTAAGTGTGTTTTGAACCCATTTTACGACCTTTCTCGCCACATTTGTTAAGCAAAATCCCTGCAGTTAAATTAGTAGCACAGTTGTTAAGCAAATCTGGCTTCTCCATTGACTTTGCTTGTCAGAAGGAGATCACATGACCTCGGTTTGCTGGGTGGGTGTGGCCATGGTGGGTGGGGCCTACCGAAACTTCCTGTTCCGGCTTCTGGTGGGCCTCCAGAGCCTGGGGGGGGCATTTTCATCCTCCCAAGGGTCCCACAGCCTCCTCCAGGCCTCTGGGAGGACGAAAACACCCCCCCTGGCCTCTGGAGGCCCTCCAGAAGCCAGAAACATGCCCGTTTCCGGATTCCAGAAGGCCCATTTTTCCCCCTCCCAGAGTCTCCGTGCTTACCTCAATCAAAATGGGCCGCGTGGAGACTCCTGGCAGGGGAGGGGCAGGAGAGGCAGGCCAGCCGGTCTGTTAAAATACCAGTTCGGCAAACCAGCTGTAACTTTAACATCCGGTTCGCTTGAACCGGTCCAAACCAGCCGAATCCCACCCCTGACCCTGGGACACTACAACCGTCGTAACTATGAGTCAGTTGCCAAGCATCCAAATTATGATCTTGTGACCCTGGGGATGCTGCTGTAAGCGTGACAAACAGCCATAAGTCACTTTTTTTCAGTGCCATTATAACTTTGAACTATAACAAATGAACTATTTGTAAGTCAACAACTACAGTAGGTCTTCAACTTACAACAGTCTGTTTAGTGACCGTTCAAAGTTGCAACGGCACTGAAAAAAGCGACTTATGGCCATTTGTCACACTTACAACCATTGCAGCATCCTTATGGTCCTTTGATCAAAATTCAGTTGCTTGGCATGTGGTTCACATTTAGAATGGTTGCCATGTCTTGGAGGGCATCACGTGATCCACTTTTGTGACCTTCTGACAAGCAAAGTCCATGAGGGAAGCCAGATTCATTTAACAACCAGGTTAGTAACTTCAGAACTGCAATGATCCACTTAACAACGGTTGCAAGAAAGGTCATAAAATGGGGCAATCCCACTCAACCAATGTTTCACTGAACAACATAAAATCTTGGGCCCAAATGTGGTCGTAAGTCGAGGACTATCTGTGCCTATACATTGATTTCTTAACGTATAGCATAGCTCTCCCATATTCCTTCAGATTCAACAGCTTTAAGACTTGTGGACTTCAACTCCCAGAATTCCTCCTCCAGTCATGTTAGCTCAGGAATTCTGGGAGTTGAAGTCCACAGATCTTAAACTTGTCAAGTTGGAAGACCCTTAAGCAAATCAGGCCTAGCTAATCAAATGTGCTGAGACTATAACTCTTATCCTTCTCTTATGAAGACCATTTCCAGCAATTCCTTTTACATAATTTCATTTCAAGGTATAAAATAAGAGATACCCCTTTTCTAAGTATTCTTCTTGACCAGGCCCTGTTGCGGTATTCCCCGTTAGGAGAATGAGTGCACTCAGGGAAGCATAATGAGAGTGGTGATGAATAACACACAACCAGCACACAGATACACTGAATAGTAAGTTTTACTTCCAGTAAACGGGTAAACAAAGTCCAACAAACAGTCCAAATCATACACGATTAAAGCAGTTAGTATTCAAAACAATCAGTCCAGGGATAATCAAAAAACGAAGTTCTTTTCTTTACCAGTATCATAAACAAAGTTCAGTAAACGGAGTTTGCGAGCAGTTGCAAGACTCACAGCAATTCAAACAAAATGACGAACAGGCAATAGGCAAAAAGGGAAATCATAGGACATGCAAGAAAAACAAACCAGGTTTCTAGCTCCATCTTATGGCCGTTGGAGGAACCTCAGCCAATCATAATTACAGCATTCTCTTAAAGATACAGCAGTATTAAATGACTATCCTGGTTTATATATTGCCAACCCAACTGTTAGGTGACTATCATTCCTAACAGGCCCCTACATTTTTTCCTTCTGGGTATGTTTGCTGTTAACCCATCATGACTACTTTACAGAGAGGCAGTATATAAAAGGAGACCATAGAATCTAGGTGTATTAGTTGCGTTTCTTTAAATTGCACAGGTGCTTAAGCTTTGATTTAATCAATCTCTGTGTTCCCAGACCTCATGGCTGAAAAGGCCTTGGCTGGAGAAAGTTCCTCTTTTGAGGTCATTTTTCCAACTCTTTAAAAGGAAGGAAAGGAAAGATTCAGTGAGGAACTGAGGTGTGCAGGTAAGTTGTGTTTAAAAAATATGCACAGAACTAAAATTCTATGTGCATTAATTGCCTCACTGTCAATTTGCAGCCTTGTGGTAAATCCCCATGGGTCCGAGATTCATTTGGATGTTCTTGAGGTAGGGTTTATTTATTTACAGACGGGCAGTCTCTTAGGAACAAAGTACATCAAATACAGCTCACTTCAGCAGAGTTTATATTTTTGTTTTAGGGTACAATCTTTATTTCTGTCTCCAGAAGAGAGAAATAAATACTGTTTTCTGCTGAATTAAGATACCGGGTTTTTTTTGTAAAAAAAAAAAAATGGATGTGTTTAAAATGCACAGGTGTAAACTAACTATTCATCTAGGGATTGTTTGAAGTTACAAACGGCACTGAAAAAAGTGGCTTATGTCCATTTTTCACACTTATGACCATCACAACATCCCCAAGGTAATGTGATCCAAATTGAAATGCTTGGCAACTGACTCATATTTATGATGGTTGCAGTGTCCCAGGGTCATGTGATCACTTTTTGTGACCTTCTGACAATCAAATTAAATAGGGAAGCCAGACTCACTTAACAACGTTGTTACTAACTTAACTGCAGAGATTCACTTAAAAACTATGACTTGTAAAACTTGTAAAATGGGCCAAAACTCACTTAACAACCATCTCGCTTAGCAACAGAAATTTTGGTCTCCATTGTGGTTGTAAGAGGGCTTTACATGGGATATTTCTTTTCATTGAGTGTGGAAAATGCAATGCAAGAATTTAAGGGTTACGTCAAAGTTTCTCACTGCCATATTTGAATTACATGCATTCCCAAAAGTTTGTCATGCCCTCATCCTTATCCCTCCATCATAAAGAGAGACTAGATCCACACAATTATGGTTTTAAGCACGTCTGAATGAGCCATCCCTAACTGAATTAATTCTTTGTGCTAAGTTATAAACGATAAACGACTCTGGCTGGATTTAGCCAACACATTAAGCTACAATGATCCACGTTACAACTTCCTACAATGTGAGGACTTAATTATACAAAAATATAGGTCTTCCAAGATAGTCCATTCTTCTACCGACCGAGTCCACTTCTGTTAAAGTTTGATACATAAGCACCTTCTGTACTGATTTGCAAGTTGCATGTTGTGTGCAATGTGTGAAGGCACTTAATTGTAATTTTGTTGTCACAACACAGTTAAATGGGATTCAGTTTAGTCTCTCTGCATATCTGAGATCAACCATAAAATCAATGATCCCACAGATCATACAGTTGCTACTCATCTGTATGAATGATGATGAGACTTCTGAGTCTTTGTATCTCCAAAGACTTCGCCATCCCTTGCTTGGGAAAACAGCTGACTAAATTATCAAACCACACAATTAAAATGGTAGCTGTTGTGTAAACAATAGTAGCAGAATCTTAAAAGCAAGATATTTGGATATAAAACATATGGTGGAAACAAAAACATTGATTTTTTTTGTTTTGTTTGTTTTACGTCTGGTGGAATCTTTCTGGGCTGATATAAATAGGGGGGGGAACAAAATTAAAGCTAGGTGTCTGCAAAAAGTATGACAAACAAAAGCAAATATGCTCTTATTCATACCACCATATGAAATTTATACGCTGTCGCCAACTGCTCAGGCATTTCAGACGGTTTGCAAGTGTCCCGGCTTCACCTTCCACAAGCAAAACTATTCCTTTCAAAAAGCAGACGCCCATTGTAATTCACAAAACTGTGCAGCCAGCATTTTTCCGCAACCCCTCCTGTGCCTTTAGAGTTCACAGTAAAAACACTGCTGGAGGTGACAAGCGATGGTTTCATTTTAAAGCCTCATCACAGAGAAAATCCCAGGCTTGCCTTAACAAAGCAGCATTGATTATCCATATAATTAACAGCACAATTTATCCCATTACAAAAAAATATAGAATAATAGAATAACTGGGTTGGAAGGGACCCTGGAGGTCTTCTAGTCCAACCCCACAAAGAAAGTTCACGAAGAAGAGGGCAAATGAACTCTTTTAAACTGGAACTGGTACTGAAAGAACTCTGAAAGCTTTGCAAAGAGCTTTCCATTGCATAACCATGCAAAATAAAGGAACTACTGGGAAGAGAAAGTATTAGGCTTTAATTCTCAGCACCCCAGAACTGAAGAAGCTTCTTAGTTGAGAAGTAAAGCATCTTCAAAGAAAAACAAGTTCAGTTGCCTCTTGGAAGAAAATAAAAGCACCTTTGGGACAGCACAATCAAGAGTTTATTTAATTTTTAAAATGGCTTGTAAGAGAAATTTAAAAAAAACTCCTTTTTTAAAATAAACCAGCCAAGTCATTCTGCCTCCTTGACTCACTTAGACTAACTTTTTTTATATGAATGACACGGAGAAATAACACGGTCTAGTTCAAAACGAACCTTGCGAGTTTAGCAGACAATGGATGGCCCAAAAAACCGCAGCAGGAAACAATTCACAAAACCTGATTGCTTGGTTTACACAACCCCAATCACACACACGGGTTTAATTTTATAGCAATTTTTCCGCGTGGGGCGGTGAACGGGTGATCCTCCTATATTTGTGATCTGTATCCCCTTTGGGGGAATCTTTTTAAATCCCTTTTCTTTAATGACAACCCCCCCCCCCCGACCCCTATAGAGAATAAAATAAAAATCCCAGAGCAAAGGGAACATAATGCAGAAAATAATATAATGCAGAAAATAACGTTTTTCACGAATGCTCACCTCTTGGATCTCTCCAGGTGGGGCGGGGCTGCCTGGATCTTGGGATCGCCGTAGATCTCCACCACTGCCCCTCGGGGGCGTCTCGCTCTCTTGTTTTTCTCCCCCCGCCCTCCCCGACACAATTACAATCAAAGGTTTGAAAGTAACTACTTTCCTCAAAGCTCTACGGGGCACCGGGACCAATCGGAAGAGGGAGGCCTTTGTGACGAAACCTGCCGCCGCACCAATCAAGCTTCTCTTCCTTGCCAGCGGCGGGAGGGGGTGGGGAAATTAAAGATGAGGCCAATCGG